GGAACTATGTAGATCAGGAAGGCCTCAAACTCACAGAGATCCGCCTTAAAGGCATGCACTACTACGCCCAGGTCCATATTATTCTTACTCTCTTTTCTCTGCACCTTGACCAGTTGTGGGTCTCTGTTTCTCTGATGAGTGCTGAGGGATGCATTAATTTATGGGTAAATGGTAAGCCATTAGGACATACTTTAATACTGTGTCCATTCGGTGGAATAATAATATTAGGTTCTCCCCTAGAGCCTATGACCTATCTAGTCTTAAATTCTTGGCCCTGATAATGGTACTAGGTGTGGGTTTCATCTTGTAGATTGGGCCTTAAATCCATTTATAAAGTGGTTGTTTAGCCCCATGAGATTGTTACTTTTTATTTTATGTGTATATGTGTGTGCCAGAGTGTATGGATGTGCACTGTGTGCATGCAAGCACCTGAAGAGGCTGAAAGAGAGTGTCAAATCCACTGGGCCTGGAGTCACAGGCAGTTGTGAGCCACCAAACATGGGTGCTTGGGTCCTCTGCAAGAACAGTAGGCACTCCTAACTCCTGAGCCATCTCTTCAGCCCCTCTTTTAAGACAATGGCTGTCTCTTCCTTATTCAAGATATGTTTGCATAGCACTGTTATTGGCCCTAAAAATTTAAATAGATAGTAGAAGGGTAAGAATGAAAGACGAATAAATAGCCGAAGGGCGGGATTTGTCTGCTGGCTCTTGGCTCCATGCTTTCCTCTTCCTGTTTTCTTTTGTATTTTGGGAAAAATTTCTTCTTGATCCAGGTTCTTATCAGCCAACTTCTCTTTAAGCAACATGGAAGATGGAGCTACTTTTCTTTTTCTGCTCTGAGCCCTGGCATTGACCATAGCAGCACAGGGGGTGGTGGACTCTTGCTTCCTCCTCAAAGAAAAGTCTGGAAGCATCGGTAGCAAGTTTCAGCAGCAAAGCATCCCCAGCTTTAGTTCTACCATTTTCCTGGCATCCCTAAGAGTGGGAAAGGCTTCCTGGAGTCATTAATCTCTAGGCAACTTCCTATCTTCATTCTTTTTCTCTTTGTACTTATAGCCATTTCAGCACTTTAGTAACCAGCTCCTAATATTAATTCTCTGTCTGAAATACTTAGTAGATGTTCTATTGTCCTAAAAGGATAATCGCTAATACAGAAAAATGCAAAGCTCATCTCAGGCAAAGAAAAACTATAGAGCAGGAGGGAAAGGAAAAGGGCTGTGGATGAGAGGCCAGCAAAAAAAGAGATCAGCTCACAGGATGTCTTGACGAGGTCACAGACAACATACTATGGTTCCTGATGTGGAGCAGTTACAGGGGCAAGGTCCTGAGCACGGCCTTGGGAACAGTGGCTGAAGTAAAATGACAAGGTGGTTTCACAGTCCTTGATGAGACCTTTTAACTGTGACACAATGATTCTACTTAGCTCATTCAAATGACTTTGACACTGGGAATGGTGGACAGTGCTAGGATGTGAGCTGGGGAGAAAGATGGAGAGGCACCAGTCTCTTCAACAGGTTCGGGCTGCAGTCCATTCTAATGTCTGCGACATCTTCCTGGTTTCCTCCTCTACACTCTGGCACCCATTCTGAAAGGAGAGAGTGGCCAACAGTTCCTGGTTCCCTTGTTGGTTTGATTGGAATCCATGGCTGATTACTTTGTTTCCAGGCCTAAAAAAAAAACCTTTCATCCATCTCCTCCTGGGTCCAGTGATCAAGCCCTGCTTAATTAACTGGTTGTCACCCTATTCTGAAAAAATTACAGTCCATTAGCTTCTGTCAAATTAATGTACCTGAGAGCTCAGTACAACCCGCTGTCACCTGAGGATACTGAGTCAATGCTTTGACTCTGCCCTAAGACCACGGGGAAATGAAATGACAAAAGTAACTCCAGTTTGCTCTAGCTGACGTTTGCTAACCACTAGGCAGAACATCTCATGAAGGTGGCGTCAGGGAGTACACTGTTTCTACAATACATGGGAACTACAAGTAGCCAGGTAGCAAGTCCAGGTAGCATGTCCTTCCACCCAGCCTAACTGAAACTTATTGTTAACTGAAAACTTCTTTGTTAACTGACCTGCCCGTGGTTTGGTGTAGCTATGGTGATCTGATGCAACTATGGTTATTAGCTCTACCCCTGGCATGATATAATTATTGTTTTAAGCTTTCTATATCTTGTCCTGCTTCTCCTCGGGACTGAGAGTTCTTTGGGGCTTTAGCCCCCTCTCTGACCACTGGCTATTAATAAAGGACTCAATTTGATCATCACTATGTAGTGTTCCTCTGTGCACCGCTCAGTTTTACAGCATCTCTTGCAAGTAAGCTCTTTCTATCTTCTTACCCTAACTTCAATTAATGTTGGTCTCTGTGAATTTTTTTTAAAATTAGAAAGACTGTACTAGTTACTATTCTTATTGCTATGATTAAATACCTGACCAGGAGCAATTTAGGGAGAGAAGGTTTATTTTGGCTCACAGATTGAGAGGATACAGCCCATCATGGCAGGGAAAGTGTGGCAGCGGGAGCTTGTCACATTGCCTCTGGAAGCAGAAAACAGAGTGTACAGGAAATGAGGCCATTTGATAAAACTTCAAGGCCTGCCCTAGTGACCCCCTTACTCCAGAGGCTCCACCTCTTAAAAGTTCTACAACTCTCCAAAACAGCACCACTAGGTGGAGACCAAGTGTTCAAACATATGAGCCTGTGGGGAACATTCCACATTCACACCACAACAGAGCCAAAGAACCAGTTCTATGAACATATTCTTTTTATTAGTAGAGATGACTACAAAAGTTTGCGACAAGGTACATTGCATCTATAAAAAAGACTTGTAACTTTTAGTAGGCAATATAGAATTTTGGAATAAAAATGTCTTCTAAGAAAATACTTGCTACTCAAGTCCATGGCCCATCAAATATAAATATATAATTTGGGACAAAACATCAGGAACAAAACACAAGGATCAATGTATTCCCTGCCAAAATGTTGGTTTATTATGGCTTAGATGAGATTTTGAAATATTTTCTACCATAGAGATAATTTATAAGCAACCTAAACAATATCTACTTCCTCTTTTCAAGAATATTTCAGATATTAATATTTGAAATTAATATATCTTATTCAAGAATGGTGAAAATGCCAGGCATGGTAGCACATACCTTTAATCCCAGTGCTCAGGAGGCAGAGGCAGGCAGATCTCTGTGAGTTCAAGGCCAGCCTGGTCTACATAGTGTGTTCAAGGATAGCTAGAGCTACAGGGAGACCCTGTCTCAAAAAGACAAAGAAAAAAATGGTGAAAAGGAACCATTAAAGCAAGTGACTGATGATATTCTTGATACTTGAAAGACAAACCCTGGGTACGATCTGGGTGATGGCCTTGGCATAAACTACATCCCAAGATTTTGAAGGTGTTCTGAAGAACTATTTGATTCATTGGATCACATTTCATGCCAGATACTATGTTGCCCAACAGGAAAGCAAAATGACAGGGGACATTCAGTTTTGTGAACGAAGAAAGATAATTGAACAGACAGTCCTAGTATCATGTGATGCGTGACGAGAGAGGTTTGGGTAGGTTCTGTGGACTCTGTTGAAGATGCTATCAGGTACCAAGTAAATGCCCTGAAGAAATCCTATGTCAGTGGAAGAATAAGGCCTGTCATGATTGCCACTAATCATTCCATAGACTGCTTACACACACTAGCAGCAAAGTGACAGAGGTTAAGCTACAGAAGGCAGAGAGAAAATGACTCTGAACTTCTTGGAAAAAACAGCAGAGACTCAGCTGTAGCATGATTTACTCACGTAAATGTAAGGTCCACGAAAGCAGGAATCCTTGCTAGTTTTGACCTTTGCTGTCTCACACTCTGAGAAAAATGTCTGACACAAATGAGTCCATTAATAAAAATATGTATTTAAAGCATAGCCACCAGGCCTGGTAAATTCCCAGGTAAACTTCCTGGGATGAGACCAAGTTCAAGGCCTGCCTAGGCAACTTAGAGACCCTGTTTTGAAATAAAAAGTAAAAAGAGGGCTATCTGGTAGCTCAGTGGTCTCTGAGTCTTCCTCTACTTCTGGAAGGAGGTTAGGCAATGAGTCAGTTTCTTCCTGTGATGTGGAGTCATACCTCCAAGGTGACTGGGAGGATTAAACAAGAACATGGCTCCAGACCTGGTCTTGTTTTCAGCCCCAGAGTCAAGAGTCATGCAGAGTTGTGGTAGAGTGGTGACCCCCAACTGTTGTGATGATCATTCTGGAGTTTCTCTATGGTTTCTTCTGTTTCTCTTACTTTTTTGTCTTTTCAGAAAGCTGCTCCAAGAAGCCTTTTTCGCCCTCTCTGAAGTGCAAAGTAATCCACTCCTAATCCTCCCCTCCCAGAATTACTTTTATCAGTGCATAGTTCAAATGGCAGGTGCCACTGAGCAGTTAACATGGGTCCTTCCTTCCTTGGCAAACTATTCTACCAGTAATACAGTGCATTGATTCTAGAAGATGCTTCATAATTGCTACTCATGGTAAATTTCACTTCCTATCCTTATTGGACAATGGATCTTAAAAGTTGTCCTACCCAGGCTGATATGAAATTATTCTTTTGTCTGTTTGTGTGTGTTGATGTGTGCATGCGGTATACCCATGTGAGTGTGCATGTGCATGTGTCCCTGATTGTGCACATGTCCTTGCTCATGCATGAAGAGAACAGAAGAGGACATAGTCTTCCTCCTTTGCTCTCCACCTTATTACCTTGAAACAGGGTTTCTCACTGGCACTGGAAGTTCATCTGTTAGGCTAGGCTAGCTGACCACTGAGCTCCCAGGATGAACCTATCTCTAACTCCCAATGCTGAGGTTTCAAGCATGTGTAGCCATGCCTGGCTTTTTTTAATTTTTTAGACAAGGTCTTCCAATAGCCCTAGCTGCCCTGGAACCCCTATGCAGACCAGGCTGGCCTCGATCTCACAGAGATCCCTTTGCCTCTGCCTCCCAAGTGCTGGAACTAAAGGTGTGTATCACCATGTCCAGTCGCATGCCCAGCTTTTTATATAGGTGCTGGAGATTTAAACTTGGGTCCTCACTAAGCTATTTCCCCAGCCCCCAAATGACATACTTATGTGAGAAGTCTCAGATCTTTTCAACTCTTAGGAAGTCAATAAGATTGGTTATGTTAGAAATTGCACACCTATTTCAAAACAGCAAACTAGTTCTCTGTGTTTTAAAGTGTTATAAAATAGCACGGAATCCTAAGAGGCACAATTAGCTCTGACTGAGGATTGCTCAAGATGTACTTTAAGGATAAAGATGAACAGAATCTCTTCTGGAGTACATCTTTGCTCACCAGTACCTTGGCGGTTCATACATGGCTTCTCCATCTGGCTTAGTCTCCACATTATGAAACCATGAGGGGGTCCTCTAAGTACCCATAGCAGGGTACAGGACTTAATTACCATCAATTTATATTCACTACTGCACCTACAAAAGGCAAATCCAGTCAGGACTGAATCATTCGCTATAAGATTTGGGGGCATTTTAGCCACAGTGGTATCTACTTACCACATTATTATTCACACCGCTTTAATATGCACAAAATAGTCACATTTTAGAAAGATGACATACTCATAATAAATAGAAAATTATTTTTAAATGATTCTTTCTCCCGGCATAAATAGAGGAGGGGCACACAAGGTCCCACTTCTAGTTAAGAAACTATTGGCAATTAATGGCTACTGGGGCAGACGGAATAATTTTTATTCAGGAGGATAGCAACTGGTAAGTTGCCCATTATCCAGACCCCACATCCATGCACACACACAAGCAGCCCTAATTAAACACAGTAAGTTGTAATAAAAACTTGAAAGTTGGAGGAGAACATGTTGGAAAGAAGGTATCCAGAGAGAATAGGAAGTGTTAGGGAATGTGGGGTGTACACGATCAAAATACATTATATAAATTGTGAAATTGCCAAAGAATCAATTTAAAACTATTTTTAAGGATAAATTCTTTTCACAGGCATAACAATAAGTCATTAGGAGTCAACTTAATATCTGTTTAGCAGAATAATAGCAGTAGGCTCTCTCCTATGTCCTGTGACCCGTCTAGCTTCAGGTTCCTAGGCATGATATCACTGTCAGGTTTGAAGCAGACCTAAATCCAATTAGAAAATATTTGGTTATTCCCATAATATTTGCGTCACTATGGCACCAGCAGGCATATCTTGCCAGGCCAGTTGTTGTAGCTTGTAGGATTTGTAGCTGGCAGGGTTCATGGTTAATTTTCTCTTCTGGTAACATGCACAGCACCTTGAGCACTATGAAAGCCAGCCAGTAGAGGTGAGGCTTTGAAGTTAGCGCCAGCTTGATTTCTGGTATATGGTCTCATATGGTCCAGACTAACTCACTAAGTAGCAGAGACTGAGCTCTAACTCTCAATTCTGCTGCCTCCACCTCCCAAGTGCTGGAATTATAGACATGTGCCGCCATGCATGGCTAAGAATGGTTCTTACCTCAAACATATTCAACCTAAGTGGACAGGTAGAATTTACCAGCGTACACCAACTGAGAAAACTTCAAAATTGTGCTTCTCCAGGAATGGACCGCACCTCAGCACTACCAGCCTCACGTGGGAACTTGTTAAAAAGCTCAATTTCTCACCCCAGACCAACTACAACAGAAGATGGGTGGAGCTCAGTAATCTGTGTTTAACAAGCCTTGTCATTTTGATGTACACCAAAATGTGATCTCTTTGCTTAAGCCAACCACACAGGTGCAAGGCAACATATAAGAGTACCATCAGATCACACACATGCAAATTAAGTGTGCGGGTCTGGTGTTAACTAGAGCTTCTTTAGTGACTTTATAGACTGTACTGAGGGTTCGGTTCAATGTGAAAAGCAACATAGCCAATTCTCATTGATCTCTTTTATAACCTGTGTCAATTTCACACAATTCCAGACTAATTCTATCCATTCAGCTGTAACAGGGCACCTTCTTGACCATAGCTACACCATGTTAAAGTTTAGGCTGATTCTAGTCTCTGAAATTATCAGACAGTTGGCCCAAGGTTTGGGAACACATGTCAGCTGAACCCTGGTTATCTTGGGAACAGGTGAACATGTCCTGGAGAGCACCTGCTAACTGCAGATTTATGGCTTCTATAGGTTATGTTTGACTTGCTTCTGCAAGCTAGTAATTGTTACTTAATTGAATAGAAATTGTTAAGGGGTTCTCCACCTGTAACTCTGTATAAAAGCTTACCCTAGAGATGGCTCAGTGCTACACACTTGGGTTCCTGACACCCTTGTGTAGTAGCCCTGGCCAGTAACGACTTTCATTCGGCAGAACTTTGTCTGAGTGGTCTTCTCTGGTGAAGTACCCCCACAACACAGCTAATTTGCTTTCAGATTACATATCTAAAGTAAACTAAATCAGCTCAGAACTGTCTGTAATATAAAATCCAAATCTTTAAGACTTCATGGTTTTTTTTGGGGGGGGGAATGGGATAGTACAGGGGATTGAATAGAGTGCCTTGTACATGCTAGACAAGTACTCTGCCACTAAGCTACGTGCTCAGCTTTCTTCTTTTAACTCTGTAGCCCAGGACGTCCTCCAGCTTTGTGTTCCTCCTGCCTCAGCCTCCTGAGTGTGTACTGCAGGCCTGTGCCCACCAGGCTAGCTCAGTGCTAGAGTACTTGCCAAGCACGTACCAAGCTTGGAGTTCAATTCCCAATACCGAAATTTTAAAAAGTGCCAAACTAGGACAAGATGCAAAAGTTAATGTTCTGAGTCTTAGTACATGTGCAGTTTGGGAACATTGTGAACACACAAGTAATTGGGTGGGGAAGACAGCTCTGGGCAGTCAAGTATCTTCACACCAGTCTGTGAACAAGGACTCTCCTACCTGCTTTCCTGAGGTCTGCTTTAGGCTCATCTATCAAGACTATTTTCTGCGTCTTCTGGCCTCATTTCTTGTCTTTTAGCTCCATGTTTTTGACCTTATGTCCCTACTGTCCCCGCTTCCACTTTCTGATGCACTTTCATGTCTCCTTCTTTGATTAGCTGTTCTTGAGCCTGGACTCTAAAATGACTATGATTAACCCAAACATACCGACTCTCCTAAAGGCAAAAGACAGTGTGGGCCTAGTCTTGATAAACAGATGTTGTAAATCCTCTGAAAATGGTTTCTTTAGTGTTTCTATCCATTACCATAAAGAGAACCCATAACATTGCTAATTTACATGGCAATGTCTAGTATGGTTGAATTTTGATTATGTGGATTCATACATACAATTATGTATACAATTAAACTCAATATACAAGAAAATGCCAGCGCTGTGGATGTCAACATGCCAAGTCCTGAAGAGGCATCCCCTGACAGTCAGGAAGTGTGACAGAGCAATGGCCCCCAAGATGCCCATGCCTAAAAGCCAGAAAAGAAACCTGTGACTTCCTATAAGCAAAGGAGGCTTGCAAGTGTGATTAATTTAAGGATATTGAGACAGACATTTTCCTCAAATATTTGAATGGATCCAGTACATTTTCCTCAATTATTTGAATGGGTCCAGAACATTTTCCTCAATTATTTGAATGGGTCCAGAACATTTTCCCCAATTATTTGAATGGGTCCAGTACATTTTACTCAATTATTTGAATGGGTCCAATGCAGGCACTAGAAGCAGGAGGGCATGAGTAAGAGAAAAGGGAGTGAGAGCAACCTGAAAGAGGAGGGGGAAGGAGGAGAGGAAGGAGGGGGAAGAGGAGGAGGAGGAGACAGAGGAGGAAGAGGAAGAGGAAGGGGAAAGGGAGAAGGAGGAGGAAGTTTGAAGCTATACAGCAAAGACGTTGAAGGTGGACAAGTAAACCATGAGCCAAGGAGTATAGGTAGCCTCCAGAAGACAGACAGAAGAGACAAGGCAAATATTTACCACTTGGAACCTCCACAAGAGGTTCCAAAATAATGTTACTTTAAGCTACTAGTTTTGTGCTTATTTGTTACAGCAACAATAGGAAATGAATATTAGGAGTTCTCAATCCTGAGGCATGGGATGACACAAGCAACTCTGATCTAATTAAGAAAGTGAGGCTTATAAAATTAGCACAAGGAAATTGCTGTGGAGATGCTTAGAGATTGAGTCTTCTGGCTGAGGAGATCAGAGGGCTTTCTTTGAGGAGGGCAGCTTTGCAGAGCCTGGGCACTGGGCAGGGTATGCAAAAGAGGGCGGGAAGCAGGAAGAGGAAAGGCACACTAAGAAGGCACAGAGCAGAGCCAACAAAAGATGATCTATACGTGATGAGTTATTTTCCCAGGACCCAAAGTCACTTGATTAAAACTTCATTCACTCTACTGAGGATATAATACGTCTCTGAGTTAGTTTTTTGAAAATCTTTATAATAATAGTCAACAACTGGATTATATTTGGTAAACTATGTTAAGAGTTCAAATATAGAAATGTAGACTTTGGACAGGAATCATACCCTTTCTACACAAGCATGCTAGCAAGGGTGAATGTGGCTCACTTCCAGACAGGCTGGTTAAACAGGAATGAACAAAAGAACACCAAATGCCAATCACAATAAGAAGGTAGTTTTCTCAAAATGCATCCATTAACATTTACAAATCAGACATTTCCCACAACCCTTCAGCATTTCCTATAACCATGTGAAACGAATGCATTCTAACTAAATGTCCCTAACAGAAGGAGGCATTGAGGACTCACTTGGATGACGGTGGAGATGATCTGTCCCACTTTGCTAGGTTTGGATTGGTTTGTTTGGCTGAAGTCAGAACACAGGACCTTAGATAACTCTGAATGGCCCTAACTTAGCTTGAGTTTGATAATGATACAACACTGGTTTAAGTCATTCTGTTTCTGGGGTTGGGAAGGAAGGCGTGGAATCATCCAGACTGCTCACTGGCATTCCTCAAATTCGCCATCAATCATCCCTTGGATTTATTCATGGAGACCATGTCTCGCCATGGTGACAATTTTTACTGAGGTGCCTCAGAGACGATTGCCTTTTTCTTTACCTTCTGGAAAATTTTATTCCTTTTTGGACTGTTCATACTCAATGCAGTAAAGTCCAGAGGAGTACCTCCTGTCTGCTGGCCTGTTCCTGTAAGAACAGCCTGGTGCTTCCAAAGAGGTGTCCAAACTGATCTCTGTAACCCTTAAGTCCTGGGATGGTGCTGCAGAGGCTCGGAACCAACTTTCTTCACAAGAGCTAGGCATGTTGCAAGCATCTTCACTTTTCTTGCTTCCTGTCTTTCTGTCCAAGCCCAGAAACGTGACCTCGGATTGGCTGCATTCTAAAGGGGTTTTCTGAGACATTCTCTCTTTCCTCAAATCTTTCTTGTGAGGCACTGAATGTTCGTTCTGGTTTTCGTCATCCTCCACTGGAATACTTGGGATATTATCCAAGAACAGAGGAGAAGGACACCTGAAGGACTTCAGTGATGTGGGTGGGTCTTCTGAAAAATATAAGCGAGGCTGAGTGCTCTCAAGAGCGTTCAGGACCTGATTGACAAGGAAGCAAACAGACATGGTGTTAAGCTTGAGTCACACACCCTTTCACTTTTTCCCCTCTAAGAAAGAACATTCTCTCATTTTCATAAAACAAGTACAAGATTAGCATTTTGAATTAGAAAGGACATTAGATATCAGTGAAGTGTTTTCATCTCAAGGATCACATCAAGCAACTTGAAATGAGGTGTGAAAGAAACCTCACAAAGAACCAGGGCACCTGACTTCAGGCATGGATTGGAGACCACCTCACTTTGTGCCATCAGGCGAATCTCTAAATGAGTCACTTTAACAGTGAGTGGAGGATTTGCACAGAGTGCAGCAAGGGCAACCCCGATCTTTAGTTCTCAAATGCCAGGATCACCAAGGGGAGCTTTCCGAAAATACAGATTTCTTAGTTTCAACCAAGAAATTGTCATTTAAAAAAATTAAAGACATGAGGTTCCAGGGTAATTAAACAGCTTCCCACATGATTTCGATGTACAGCCAGATCTGAGAATCAATAAGATAAGCTAATTTTCTCTCTCTCTCTCTCTCTCTCTCTCTCTCTCTCTCCCCCCCCGCTCCCGCCCTAAAAATACATACACATGCCTTCAGAATATTCAACAAATACCTTTAACAAAGTGCCTTCATGTATATATCTCATTTAATCTACATAAATAACAATATTCTGATTTTCTAGATAAAGCTAAGGATGAAAGGGAAAAAAAGCACGTCACTATGTGGAAAGGCTTAGTCTTGATGCTATATCTCCTAGTTCCCAGGTCCACATCCTTCTATGACACAGCTGATAGATCCTGGCTAGGACAGGATTCCACATGGCTCTGTCTGGCCGGCCATGTGAGGCCTCGAATAAGTTCTCTGGACTCCCAGACCAATGGTTTTACATTATGATTAGGCCAATTTCTTGTTTTAAACTTTCTCATAGTTCTATAATGGATTTAGGAAAAAAGTCAACCTCCTAGAATAGAATTTATGTCCCTCCCAGAAGTCATCCCACCTCCATAATGCGGCCCGCCTGTGGTCTTACTGGGGACACCATCACCTCTGAGGCAGCTTTCACCAGTCTTGATTGCATCTTTTGAGAGTGTCCTCCCAACCTTAATGCTGTCTACATCTAACCTGTTATCCAGAACCAAATGAAGGTGATGTCTCCAGCAAGGACCTCTTCTAGCTCAACAAACTGGTCTCTACTGGGACTCTACCCTCCCCCATCAGCCTGGGCTTCTACTCATGATGTCTCTCTTACTGTCTACTAATCTGACTTCTCCTTTGGACTGCAAGCTTGAGAGCAGTCACTGTATCTTGACCACTGTGCATCCCCTGCACCCAAATGAAGTCTACACACATGAAATCGGCATTAGATTAGTATTTGCCTAGAAATGAGTGGATTATACCAATGAAAAATGAATACATTTTAAAAAATAAGCAGGGACTGGAGAGATGGCTCCACGGTTAAGAACACTGACTGTTCTTGCAAAACACTTGGGTTTGAATCCCAGCACCCACATAGCAGCTAACTACTGTCTATAACTCCAGTTCCAGGGGATCTGACAGTGTCTTCTGTCCTCTGAGGGCATTGTGTGACATGGGTGCACTTACCTATATGCAGGCAATACATGCATATACATAAAATAAAAATAATAAATAAAATATTTTTAAAAAACAAGCAAAGGAAATGCATGCTTTTTAATTGGTCATATATCTTAATGAATGCTGAATAAAATACTCCCTCCAAACTACTTTTCATTAGATATTTTTTTATTATTAGTTGGGAGGTCAAAGGACAACTTTGTAGAGTTGTTCTCTTTTGTTTGAAGCAGACTATCCCTGTAGCCCCAGCTGGCCTGGGACTTGCTATATAGACCAGTCTGGCCTTTATTTCACAGAGATTCACCTTCTTCTGCTTACACAGTACTAGAATAAAGGTATGTACTACCATGCCCAGTGAATCTATCCACCTTTGTGAGTGTTCCTGGAATTGAACTCAGGTCACTAGGCTTGCAGGGCAAATGTGCCTTTTATCCTCTGAGCCATCTTGCTGCCCTGTATTAGATATTTTGTGATAATATGGTTCCATCCAGTAATGAGCTCTATGAAAGTACCAATAGTGTGAACTGTTTCTCTTATTGTTGTTTTTGTTGTTTATTTTTAACCTAGAAAGATTATCTGTTAAGACTAGGATTCTCTGTTTGGAGGCCAAATTTGTCTCACTGATAAAGAATTCACTTAAGTGCACAATTTAGCCAACTTTGATTTTCTGTAGTTCAATTTTGAATAAAATCACCAAATACATACTTCATCCATTGACGGTCTTAACTTTGCCCGAGTTGCCACACATTGGCCTGCCAGACAGAAGAGCTTGGCAGAGAAGTTCCGAGGACAGGGATGTATTTTCTTGTCTAGAAATGAGAAACATGAATCGAGGCCTCTCTTCTCCATCAATTCCATAAGGAGATCCCGCTAGGAAAAGGAGATAAGCTATTACTTGAAATTCCATCAGAAAACTAAGAAACAGGCGCCAATGTGAAAGCAATTCTTACCAGCTGAACGTGTTTGGGGTCGTCTAACACCACTTTACAGCCTGTCAGAACTTCCATGATTACCTACAAGGAATGCACAAAATGTCAGTTACAGCTGTTGAGTGCATTCTCAATATTAGTTGCAACTATTTACATGACAATGGATGCAGTTCTTTCTGAATTAATGCCTCTACATTTTATTATAACACTGATTATACAAAATTAATGTATAAGACAATAAATAACAGGAAATCAATAAGTATAAAAGCTAAAGCTCTTGGGCTGGAGAGATGACTCAGTACTTAAGGGCACTGACTGCTCTTGCAGAGGACCTGGGTTTGAGTCTACATGGCAGCTAAAAACTGTCTGTAACTCCAGTTCCAGGGGATATGACACTCTCTTCTGACCTCTGCAGGCATTGCAAACACAGGTGTACTTACATACATGCAGGTAATACACTCATACACATACATACATTTTTTTTTAAGTTAAAGCTCTTAAAAAATTTCCTCTCAGAATTTAGAACCTTGCTGGCAATGAATCTCTTTCTTAGATAAGTGGTAGCTGACACTCACAATTCCAAAACTGTAGACATCTGTTTTATCAGAAAGTCTTCCCTGTCTGATGTATTCTTCTGGCATGTACCACAGATGTTTCCTGCTGCTGCCAGTCATATTTATGGTAGAACTCTGGTGTTCTAGGTGGGGTCGGAAGTGTGCCATGGCGAAATCAGTTAGTTTGGGTTGAAACTGATCATCCAGAAGTATATTTGAACTATAATTGTGTCCAAAGACAAAAAAAAAAAAACATCACAAAGGCATTTCATGAAATACAAAGATGGTCAATTCAAAACATCGATGAAACGGAGCCAAGCATGAATTTCCACAAATTATAGTGGACATATTTTTACATTCTTCTTAAAGCATAAATAGAAATTTGCAAAAAACCTAAACTAAAACTCTGACCCATGAACAATGGGTCTTTTGGGTGTTGAGACACACCTATGGAGATGGTGGGCAATGCTGAGGCTGAGGGTCTAAAGCCCTAATAAGAAAACAGGGTTGCTGAGGAGTAATAAAGATGGCACACACACACACACACACACACACATCCTGCTTCTTCTTGGTCTGAAGCAAAGGCCTATGGGCTCTCCCTCTAGTCAGCAGGGTTCTCTTTCCAGCTGACTAGTCCAAACCAGTTCAGGTACGACTGAGGCCAGAGTTCCACATTTCATCTTTTGAAGCCTTAGGCCTATCAGCCTTCCTCTTTGTTTATGTTGACCAATCCAAAATGAGGGGAGGGTAAAGCATGAAAACCCTGAAAACCCAGGTCCTCCGTGGGAGGCACTGGTTTCTTAGCTTCTGGGTCCCCTTTCGACTTGTGGAGAGCTTTGATTCTCTGTGTGAGTGTGTATATGGATGTGGATTCTTCATTATTTCTCAATAAAGTCTCTTCTATGTCTAAATTTTTCCTACCTTTTAATTATTTAATTGGCGGGGGAAACAAACCCAGTAACAACCCCTAATGGCCACTCGAGACCCCTAGACTGATAACATGGCCATAAAATTTGAGTCCTTATCTGTGATTCCTTCTGAGGATTACCGATTCACCAAGATTGGTATGAAACAAGTCAACACTGTAAAAAGATTTGCTCCCCAATCCCGTAATGGGGACTTCTCCCCTCCATGCAGTAGGAGGAGGGGAAAGTATGGTGGTGATTTTCTCTCTCTCTTCTTGGCTAGGGAAGATTCCCATTTGATTTTAGTTCTAATGTCTGTGTTTCAGAAAGCAAGGGAATCTTTTTCCAGATAGTTTTGACTGAAGCTTCGCAATGGTCCCCAACCCCTGGAGCTGAGGTCAATGACTGATTGCTGGCTCTGGGGGGATTTTATGAGTTAGACTCCTGAAGAAAGTAAATTATTCCCCTTCATCCTAGTAATCACAGTATTCTTTAATTAGTGGCTGGCTTCTGCAGGGATCTTATCTCTCTTCAGTGGTTATCTTAGCTCTCTCAAGCAAAATGAAAGAGGCCATTAGGAAAGTAGCAAAGAATGTGCGAGAATTCTTTAAACAAATCAAGTCATTTTGTAATCTGGATGCTACAAACATCTTTCCTCCCTACCAGAGACTTATGAAGAGAAATTAGCTTGCTTCCCTGTAAAATAAATACGAAATAACTGTGAAGGAAACAAAATAGCTCTGGAGGAGACGAAACTAACATGTTCACCCACTGCAGCTATCTTATCTTGCTCTCTAGGCTCTGGCACAGAGCAGTGGAAGGAGGCCTTGGGAAAAGATGACCTGCAAAAGCCCTCAGTGTAGTCAAGCTTTTTGGCTTTTAACTCTTTGAGCGTGATTGTTTAAAATATACAGTCTGCATTGAAAAGTAACATCAGCTGTAATGTGCAAAAGTCCCTTAACCTAGTTGAACAGTTTGTTGACCAGTTTCTCGGCTTCCAGGTCCCCTCTCCACTTGTGGAGAGCTTTGTTTACTTGTGTGAGTGTGTATATGGATCTGTGAGTCTTCATTCTTTCTAGATAAAGTCTCTTCAATGTCTGAGACTTATCCTACCTTCTAATTCTCTAACTGGCAGAGAAAATGAACCCAACTACAACCCTTAGATAGTGACATCCAAGACCCCTACACTGATAACATGGCTGTTAACAAGGCTGTGTCAATAAGGTGAACTACAGGAACCACAGCACCTTCTCTCTGCTCTTCCTACACTCAAGAACATGAACTGGATTTTGAGCGGCTAATGATGTATTTGTTATGTGCATAGAGGCATGCTACGGAATGCCAGGCTTGTCAGCACAGAGGCACTAGCGTAAAATGGCTTGAGATGTCTTTGGTAGCTTCTGCTTTAATAATACTCCTACCCCACAGTTCCATCTTTATGGCTTTCCTTTTGGTTTGAGTCTCATTTCGAAAATGAATTCCTGCAAGAGCAAAGGCGGGGAGCATAGGGTTGGTTTAAGGTGTTGTCACATAATAACGTTAATAATCCCTTCACATCTTGGTGAGCATTTATAAATGTTGGCTTATTTTGTCCTTCAAAAACCTATCGTAGCAGGAACGGGAAAAGAGAAACAAAGAGGGACATGTATTTCAGCTGGTGAAGCAGAGTTCGTCTCTGCCTTTCCCAGGTTCTAAGACCCTCTGTTCCTCCCCTCTCTTACATGTAAAGTGAGGAGAACAACAGAACTTAAGCCACTGCTACAGGGAATGTGAGGTGAGTCAACTGCCTGGCACTGCTGAATAAGCGCTAGCAAGGATGAGGATTTGTCATTGTCATAACAGGGCTGCGGATGTTGGCAAAGGAGGTGAGCTGGCCATGAGAAGGTCACCTTCTCAGTTTCACCTAGGGCCCCTCAGAGCTTGCTTTGTGTCCTCTGACACTAGAATATTTATTACTGGGCCTGCCCATCCAGAATGCCGAGAGGGATATTTTGTAGTACTATGCACTGTTATTAAAAGTGGTACTAGCTACTGGGTAAAAAGAAATCCTTAAACTGAAATAAATACTGAATTTTACAAAAGTTTTAGAAGTATTTGCTGTCTTGAATGAGTTCACAAACAGGTAGATCTGAGTTCCAAAGGTCAGAATTGAGATGTTTCAGAGAAAGGATGAAAAGACTTCTCAGAGACTCAAGTCTATGTCGAGGATCTAAGCAGACCAGCCCAACATTTGTAACCGAAGCTTCAAGAATTCCAATCCAGACTTTGTCTAGGACTGAATTTACAACAGATAAAATAAAAGGACATGCCAAGGTCCTTTAAGGATAAAGCCATTGTCCTTCCACTGAGTGAAAAAAGAACTGTACAATTCAAAGAGCTCAATTATGCATGAACCTCAGGCCCTGTCTGTTCAGTGTGATCTTCATATCTACAGGAAATAAGCCACAGGCCATATCCCCAAGACTTCTATCAACAAGAACAGTCCTTAACTTTCCTTTCTCTTTGCCTTGTTTTTTCCCACATATCCAGCAGCTGCTTGAGCCAGTCTGCTGCTCACATAGCCCACTTTATGCCATTCCTCACCCACTCCATTCTCTCACTTGGTGAACAGTGCTGACCACCCTGACATCCCTGTGCAGATGTGTAACAGATCATAGCTGGATCCCACATTCTCTCCAGCACTAGGTAAGAAGACACAATTACATCTTCAACAGGTGCACACTTGACTTGCTCACATCAAACTTGAGGTTTCTGAAGATACCCCCAATGGTTTCAGAATTTTGGGATATATGAAGGAGTTTGCCAGGTGGGGCAGGAGAGGCAGAAGGGAGGAAACAGTCACCAACCAGCTCTCATGGTCAACACCCAAGTGAGGCAGAAAGTGAGGTCGGAAAGGCCTTTGGCAAACTACAAAAGTAGCATAGGAAAGAAACCAGTTGGCAAAGGGGAAAGCTAGAAATCCCCTCTCCTAGGCCAACTATATATCCCTGCCACAGGCATATACACACAGGCACTCCAGTGTGCCTGACAGTGACCATGGCTCATTATAATAATAAAATGCACACCCCTTAGGTGGAGGTTTAAGATGCTAATGAGTCATATATGATACATGAAGTTGCATATGGAACTACACGTAACAGATCATGTGTAAGAAAGCTCACTGTATGCAAATGAGCCAGAAAGTCCATGCTGAAAATTACCTCCAATCCATGTAACACATTCTTTACAGCAGACGTTTGAGCTACTAAACTTTCTCCCTGCTCCAGCCTGCTTCCGCCCTTCGAAGTACATCTTTTTTTCCGATACCATCTCTGCTTCTGCTGACACAAGAAGGCAGTACCCCTGCAGAGATGCCCACCAAACCCCAATACCACTGTTACCATCTTTCCCAGCTTCTCTGCTGCTCTGAGAGTCACCTCTGCACACTCTCACTTCACCTCAGCGCAGAGAAAAATGGTGAAGGCCACATTTCAGTGTCTTCCAATGTCTTCCTCCTCCACCTCCGTTCTCCAGGAGGCATGAAATGCTAATTTACATTGCAGAGCCAAGAGAAGGACAAAGCTGAATCTAAACACCAGGTAAGCATCCCTGGGGTTTTCTAAATACAAAGGAAAGAAAGAAAGCAAGAAAAGCAAAGAAACCCGTCGTTTAAGCCATTTATTTGACCTTCTGAAAAACAAGGAGAAGCTTACAGCAATCGGTGAGTCACGCAACTGTGAAATGTAAGCAGAGGTGAGCTGTAAGCAGAGGTGAGCTGGGTGACCACAAACCATGCTACCCAATAATCCCACTGAGGACATGGGGTCAGAGAGAGGCCATCCGTAAGACAGGATTATCTGTGGACACTGCATTTATACGCTGAATAATGACATTTGGTAGAGACAAGTTACTTACCAGGAGACCTTAGTGTATAACATAAATTTTGAATGCAGTGCTTTATTCTGCTCTAAGTAAAGGTTAACAGTGGCTGAAGAGGAAAAACTTCTGCTGCAGGAAAGTGGAAATTGCCAAATCCCGCCAACAATCAGTTTTCACTGTAATTCTTTCCCCTGCTTCAACCTTAAACGGAATCTTCAAACACAAGTACCTCCAGCTACCAAGCAGGTCAGTGGAGCAAATCTGGTCAGCAGGGTGAAAGTGGACTGACAAGACAGACACCGCATCAGACAACTGCAATCCTAGTAGGATAAAGCAAAGGGGCAACTTGCCAGTAATTATAGCCACCAAAAACGTAGACAAGGAGATGATTTCGGTCAATACCCTCAATCCGGTATTTCTATAACCTTACTCTTTATTATAAGGGTATTTGTTGTAA